TTGCAGTAACAAGGGGGACAGCTGAACCCCAATACCTCTGGGACTTGGAAGCAAGAGAAGCCTTCCTTCCTGGCTGAGCCGCACTCACCTTGCAGCTGGCACTGGAGTGTGAAGGCTCGTTAGGTTTGTAGCTTTCTAACCACGGGAACCGCTGTGTCTCCTGGTCTCATCCGTGAACAGTGTTAGAAATAAGCTTGGCGTTGGAAACACGCGTCCTGAGATGTTCTCTGCATTAGAATAGCGTCTACCCGGGGAGAAGGCGCTGCTGCCTGCACCCCGTGTTCTACCCGAGGCCTCTCTCCACTCTCCCGTGGGCCTGGCTTCTCACTTTGGACCCTTGCTGGGCCCCGGGACCCCTTTCTTCTGTTCCTGACCCTGCTGTATCCCAGCGTCTGATGGAGAGGCTGTTTCTCCGCTGTTCACCACCTCTCCATCTTCCTGGAAGTCTCCTATCGAGGATTTTACCTGAACCTGAGCTGCGATGGGTCATGAAACGGTAGTACAGGAACACTAGACAAACTTACTGTGGTTTAAATACTGTCATGATGCGAGGGTGTTTTTATTTTATTTTGGTTCAGGTAATTGAACTCAGGACCTCATGCTTGCCTCTCGGGCACTGTGTGGTAGTAGTTCTTATTTTTATTTTTATATGTTTTATAATGGTTTTTAAAAGCCCATCTCTCCCGTGTAAAGGTGAATGACACTTAGAACAGTACTTTCCTGACTGCTTAGAAGGGGTATCCAACCCCCACACTGTACAGCCACATGGAGTCACTTAGGCTTCACATATTTATTTCTGATTTTTGCTATCACAGACGTGTCTGCAGTAGAGAAAATTACCAGCTTTAGAAGGCTTGAAATGTTTTGACAAGCCGTTAGTATACGCCTAAGAGTGCCTGCATTTCATGAGTTCGTGAGAGTTGGAGAGGAGGAATCTTGAGTTGCTTTCCTTATTCAAGAACATGAGCAACCAGAAACTCAAATGTCATGCAGTTCAGGTTACCAGAGTCTTCTTTATAGAAGTGAGAGGACATGGCCACCTCTTTGGGCCATGGATTGCTTGGCCTCCAAGCCAAAGCCATCCTAGTCACATAAGATTAAGGAAAATAATCTACAAAACAGGCAGGGTCTATTTCTGAACTGCATGGGGAGGTTAGACGCATGGAAGTAATCACACCGACGGTCAGGGTAGAGGAAAGCTCGAGCATCCCCATGGAATAAGGGACATAGAGCTACAGGGAAGGCCCACCAAGCATCCTTTCTCCTTTGATGCTGGACTGAAGCCAGGCCCTTCACTCTGAGCTACACCGCTGGCCCTTATTATTATTTATTTAATTTTGGTGCAGGTTGCTAAGTTTCCCAGGCTGGGTTAGAACCCCGCCCAGCTAGTGTCCATTCCTTATGGAAAAGATGCTCTAAATATAGTCAGTAAGTTGGTTTTCTTTTTTTTTGGTATTAAACTCAGAACCTCACAATTACCAGGAAGGCACTGTGCCAATGAGCTGTATCCCTGGCCCCAGTCAATAAGCTTTTTAATTTTGTTTTTTGAGACAAGGTCCCGCTGTGCAGTTCAGGCTGGCCTTGAGCTCACTTTGTAGCCCAGACTGTCCTTGAACTCAGTGATCTTCCTGCCTCAGCTTCCTGAGTGTCGGGATTACAGGCGTACACAACCACACCCAGCCTTAGTTTTTAATTTTTTTTTTGTCTTTTTCCTTTTTATTGGTACTGGGGATCAAACTCATGACTGCTTGCTTGCAAGGCAGGCGCTTATGCCGCTGAGCTAAACCTCCAGCCCCTAGTTTTTAATTTTTTAACATTAAAAGAAAATGTATTTGAACCCAACTACCAGCAACTTACCCAAAGGTGAAATATTTGATGCATCTGTCATAAAATAACTTAAAATTAATCTATGCAGTAAGGAAATCAAACTGGTTGAATATTTTTAAGTCCAACAAACTAAATTGAAATTCATGTACAGCTAGTAGGAATTCTGGATGATAGATCATTATAAAGTAAATATATAAAAACCAATATATTTTTTATATTAAAAATAGTCCCCGAAAAGCCCATTAGGCACCATAGTGTTGGAAAGAGTCTATTCACCATGGGAAGTAAAAAATTATGACACCTGGAAATACACTTTGGAATGAGAAAGGCTGTTTTACCTATGCCATCGCATTAGGAACCATCAAGGAGGAAGATTTAGTCAGATTTCTTAAGTAAAAAAATGAACAAACAAAAACACCTCAATCCCATAAAGAAATCTGAAACATAAAATACAAACTGGAAGATAATTTAATATACACAAGGACGGATGAAAAAATACAGCGTGTGTTTAAACAGAAGCATTGGAGTCGCCTTGCTATTGCCAGTCCCCAGACCTCCCTTCTCTGTGGCTCCCTCGGCCCCCTTTTCCTGCTGGTTTCTGCAGCAGCTCTGGAAGCCCCTTTCCTGAGTGTCCTTTTGGGGTGTGGTAGGCAAACACGGTGGACACTGCTGCAGGGCCACCCCGGGAAAGCTGGCTCCTAAAAACACCACAGCGTGTGCCACCCAGCCTATTCACCCGACCTGGCTGGGGACACCTTCTGGCTTTTCCTCAAAGTCAAAATGACCTTGAAAGGTCAGTGATTTATGCTTGCAGCCAGGCCAGTGTGACTGGAGACCCCCAGGAAAGCGCACTTCCAGAGCTGCTGGGGGAGCAGAGTGTCTGGAGAGAGCGGAGGGTTTCTGGGAGGGATGATGGTGCTGTGTGTGTCACTGCAAAACATCTTTACAGATTTAGGAAGATTCGCTGTCATTGTTATATGACTGTGCACAAGTCTAACAGCACTACGGCAAGATTTCTTGTAAGTCAGTAAGAAAATAGGAAAGGTTATGAACAGATAATTTTATTAAAAGTGTAAATGGCCAACAAACAGCAAATGTTACCTTTTACTGCGTAGCAAAATCAAATGCGTATGATACGGATGTAATCACATTTGTTCCGAATAAGTCAGAACGTGTCGGGAACATCTTGGCCCCTGCGGTGGGGTGAAGTTTATGACATCTACTTGTGGGGTGGACATGGACAGCGGTATAATTTTCCATAAAGCCTCTCCCACGTATCTTTACAAAACCTTGAAGACCTGTAACCAGTTTTTCCCGGCAGTTTGCACCGTGGGGAAGTTCACCCAAAGAAATCACCAGCCGGGTACCCCGGAGGTGAGAGATGCTCCCCGCAGGGGTGAACACGTTGGGGAGACCGCAAAACAACCCGCCTTCCCAACTGTACTGTAAAAGGTCGTTTACCATTATCAGGGAGTTTCACTCTTTCAGAAACAAAACAGCAAACTTTTTCCTCCTTGTGTTTTGTTCTTGCATGTTTAAACTTACAACTTTTGTAAGCAGAGCAAGCACATAAGTGTTGAAATGGACAGAGAGTCCAGCAGGTTGGCGCTGCAGAGGTGTTTTCCTGAGATGCCCAGGGTCCAGCCGAGGCTGCGTGAGCACTAACACCCGGCCCCAAGCTCACCAGCTGTGCTACTTGGACGGCAAAGTCCCCCATGGTGGTGCAGATGCCGGGGTTCACACAGGCAGGCGCCACAGATGGTGAGGAGCATCCGTGTCCTGTGAGTGAAACACAGTGCCCTTTTTGGATGAGCCATAGCCAGCTGTTGGTATCAGGAAAGCCCATGTGGCTGCATAAAAAGACATCTTAAATGGGATCGAGCCACACACTGGGCCTTAACCTTCACGTGTCCTTCTTCCCGTGGCCTCTTCCGACGGGCAGGGCCAAGTGTGCGGTCATTGCTACGAGTTACACACGACTAGAGGCAGTTTCTCCGCTCGCTCTGTTCTTTATTATTTTCCTATTTACCTCCTCCTTCGATGAGGCTGCCAGTAAAATGCAGGCGTCAATCACCTGTGCATTTCAGATGGAAGCGAGTGTTATGTTTGTATTAAATAAGTCTCAAGTACTGCATGGAACATACCAGTACTTGTCTGCCGTTTATCTTAAATTAAAATTTCAGTGGAGTCCTTGATGTTAACTGTAGCATTTCCGCCTTACACATCACATTTGCAGATCATTTGCCTGCCCCAGTCTGTCTGTTGGACAGTGTTGGAGAACAGATGAATGAGTGAGGGACTGTATATTTGAATGAAAATATACTCGTGGGGAGACAAAAACTTTTGTGGTGTCTTCGTAATCTCTAAGGAAAAACTCAGTATTTCTTTTCTGTAGTGACCTGAAAAGAATTGCAGTTTGCAGACTGACTTTCTAACTTAATACCAAATGGGTCAGGCATAGTGCACAGCCTATAATCCCAGCACTCAGGAGGCTGAGGCAGAAGGGTTCCTGCAAATTTAAAGACCAGCCTGAGCTACCAGGCGAGACCCTGTCTGGAAAAAAGAAAATCAAAAACTGGGATCTTTCTGCGTCCTTTCCTTTCCTTGTTTTGCTGTTTTTCATTCTTTGCTACTTTAATGAAAAGGAAAAAGCTGGGAACGTTTTAGGTAAAGAGCTTTGAGTAGAGACAAGGGTGAGCATGTGTCCCGCCCAGTGACAGAAAGCTGGTGTGGCGGGTTCACAGCCTCGCACCGTGGGTTTGCGGATTCTCTGATGGTGAGTGGGGCGGCCCTCTTTATCCGTGTGAGGTGACCGTAAGGGCGCTGACCTTGTGTCATGAGCATGGGGACAGGTGACCGCAGAGCACACTGTGACCCCTGGAATGCTCCTTCCCAAGGCCCTCGGGGGATTCATCCACCCGAGAACCTCACGAGGTGATTTGTGCTTTCACAGAAGAGCCACAAAGGCAGCCTGACCCTCCCTCCCAATGCCCCAGTGGCCTCTCTGTCTGCCACACCCTCCACAGCCCTTTGCATTTCAAGTTGGCGGTGCTCCAGGGCTCAGTCACTTCCTGCCAAGGCCAATCCGAGTTGGACGGGCTTTGCCTGTGTTGGACGGGCTGCGTCCACTTAGGTCCAGTCTTCTCCAGAATGTTCCTGTGCTCTCTTTCCAGACAGCTGCTCCCCCCAATGTGAACGTCGGAAAATCAAATGAGGATTCTTCAGGGCAAGATGCGGTGCTGGCTGATTCCAGCTTTTCTGGCTGTGGTTTGCTTCTGCACCATCGCCCAGGGTCAAGGTAACTGAAAACTTTAAAGAATGAGGAGTTCCAGCCCCTCTTGGTTCTGATGATCATTTAAAAAGAAATGGACCCTAAGGTGCACGGTTGGTCCGGCTGTGATTCCAGGCAGGGATTCACTGGTCCTGCAATCGTTTGTGCTGTGCGGATGCCCTCTGGCTGCACTCAGCAGTGGCCGGCACGGTGGGTGGTTCTGTGGTTCGGGTCCGGAGGCTCCTCCTGCAAAGGCGGTGTGAGAGTCCTGTCTGCGTGCTGTGAGGCCGGTTCTCTGGATAAAGAGCCGGAGCACGCGTGCGTGTGGGTTCCAACCCTGCCGCGTCCCCTGAAAATGCTTCCTCTGCTTCCCTCCCTTCGTCCCACATCCTTCATTCCCCCCTTTCCTTAAGCACTGAGCGCACACCTAAAGGTGCAGGGTCTGGAGAAGGCTCCTCCTGCTCTGCTGATTTAACATCGTTTGCATTGGGCTTAGTTTGTGAAGTCCGCAGTTTGCATTACTGGGATCTGTGTTTCAGTTTGTGATTTCACGTGTCTTTATAAATGAAACCTGGACTTGAAAACCTGCTATGCCCAGCCCACATTGGCCACTGCCTGCTTTTATACAAAACTTTTTTTTTTTTTTTTTTTTTTTTTTTGTCTTTTTGAGAAAGGGCTCACTTTCCAGTTCAGGCTGATCTTGAGCTCTCTTTGTAGCCCAGGCTTGTCTTGAACTTGCGATGATCCTCCTGCCTCAGCTCCCAAGTGCTGGGATTACAGGCATGTGCCACCACACCTGGTTTGTACATAAAGTTTTACTGGAACACAGCCACGGATCTATTTATTGATCATTTATGGTTGCTCTCATTCTACAGTGTCAGAGTCAAGCGGTGATGACAGGTGTGCGTGTCCCTCAGACACCAGTGGGTTTCCCCTTACAGAAAACCTCCCTCACTCCCGAAGTCCGTGCACAGCGGACTCCGGGGTGCAGCCTGACCCTGCCAGGCACGCTCGGGAATCCTGCAGGGCTGACGTAAAGCACCCAGCCACATCTGCTAGCTGGACACACCACGTAGCTGGTGGACAAATCCTGCTGCTTTTGTTTACATTGGAGGAAGACACTTTTCAGCGGTGATGGGCGGAAGAGCAGTGATGGGATGATTCTCTAAGCGCAGGGTGCCAGGTGCAGGTCCCGGGAGCCCAGGACAGCAGACCACGGACCTCAGTGCCACATGCCATGGGCTCTTCTGGGACACTCCCAGGTGCTGCCTGCCAGACACGTGTGGCCAGCGAGTTCTGAACACTTAGTGGGCTGCATTCTGTGTCCAGGCAAGACACACACCGAATAAGATGATTACTATTATTGTTATTATTATTATTATGCCTTCAAGCAGCTCACTCTCCACCAGAGAGGTAGAAGAATAGGAAAATAAATCAAAATATTAATTACGAGGGGTTGCAGCAAAACATAAGGATGGCCAGGCTGTGGAGGTCAGCCTACAGGAAACGTCGAGATAAAAATTCTGATGACGCTGCTTGTATTGGTGGTGGATGTGGGGAGACAGACAAGCGTGGGAGGTGAGGCCTTTAGGAGGCCCTCAGGTGTTCAGGAAAGAGGCACGGAACCTGCAGCACACAGTGTGAGCACAGAGAAGAGGGTTAACCCGAGAATCGCTGCAGTGTTGGGAGACACGGAGCTCATCACGGGCTCAGTGTGGAGCCGGGCGCCCTAGGAGAGGATGCCAAAGCTGCAGTCGGACCCTGCGTGTTAAACCTTGCACCGTGATGGCTCCTGTGCTCCTCTGTGCGCTTTGTTTGGGTTTGTGGAAAGCAGGGTTCTGTCTTTAGCGAGGCATCTGCAGTTCAGGTGAAGCTTGTGCGGTGGCAGGAGGTTAGTACAGGGAGCAAATGTGGAGGAGGTGACCGGCACGGCTTTGGACAGCGCGAGGCGTTTGGGGGTCTGCCGGGTGCTGGCTGGGAAGGCACCAGGTGGCGGCTGAGCAGAAGGGGGGACCCAGGCTGCATCACCAAGAGGCCCTGAAGGCGCAGTGAGGAAGGGGTTAGCCCCCGCGGGAAGTGGGGTGAGGCCTGGCGTGCCAGCAGTGAAGGGTGAGTAGGAGGAAAGTGCCAGGTTGAGAGAGGACGGGGTGCAGAGGATGCTGAGGGTCGAGGCGACCCCACAGGCTTTGGGGTGGGGGACATCTCAGGGACAGCACGGGGAGCTCCAGCTCTCGTTTAGGAGACTCAAAGGTCTTCAGGCGGCTGCCTCTTGATTTTGAGGAAGAAACAGCATGAATTGCTGGGCTGGTGTGCATGCCTGTAATCTCAGCTCACCAGCTTTTGTTAATACTTGATTTTTCTTGTATTCGTTCTTTTCTTGTCTTTTTTGGAGACGGGGGCCCCACTATGCAGTTCAGGCTGGCCTTGAGCTCTCTATGGAACCCCGCTTGGTTTAGAACTCACAGGGATCCTCCTGCCTCAGCCTCCAGAGAGCTGGGGTTACAGGCGTGCGTCATCACACCAGGGAATCCTTGTTTCCTTGATGACGGCCTTTCTTTCAGGAGTGAGATGGAGTCTCCACGTTGCTTTAATTTGCTTTTCTCTAGCAGCCAGAGAAGTGAAACATTTTTTCAGCATTTTTATATGACAAGTTGAGGAATGCGCCAGGATGCGGAAAAGGCAATGCTCTGGCTGAAAGGAACGCGCCCAGCCGTGACAGGAGGACCTCGGAGTCCCACGGCGAGCCCGCACTGGGTTCTGGTGAGGCTACAGGGAGGACTGGCTGGCGGGAAAGTGACTGTCCCTTAAAACTCCCTGGGCCTGCGACACGGGGCCTTGGCGTGGGCCGGATCCAACTTTCTACAGGCCTGGTGTTCGTGCATTACGCATATTTCTGCTGTTATCAGCAGTCACGTGTACTGGGCGTTGAGAGAATTTCCCTCTGTGCCGTTTTCAGCGTCTTTATAACAGATTACGACATTAGGACACAGCAGATCTAAGCAGGATTAACAGCCCCTTTGAGCGTGTCCCACGGTAAACCGCTGTCAAAATTCAATTGCTCACAAGACACTTGGATAGTAATGCACTTCAATGAAAAATAAGCTGTGTGAAAGCTAAGATTTTTGAGGGGCGCTTGCTTTTGTTTTTGTAGATCGCTTATAAAAGTAGTCAAATATTTTCCTGCTACTTAAAGGTCTTTAAAAGTGAGTGTGTGGGCTGGGCCTTCGAGGCAGCCCTCTACACTACACACAAGTGGGGAGGCGCCTGGCCCGACCTCTACCAAGATGCCTCCACTGCTAAGGGGTCTGGTAGGGGAAAGGCGTCTTCTCCGGTCAGCTTCAGAGGAACGAGCCTGCCAGTGGATGATACCGCAGCTCAGTCAAAACAAAATGGAATGGCCGAGCCGAAAGGGACAGCCCCTGGCAGCCTCTGGGATTTGCCGAGGATGGGGGCCCACTGTCCACAGAGCCCGGAACGGAGGCTGCGGGGGTCCGGGGCGGCACAGCCCTCGCCATGCTGCCCCCGGCTGCCACCGCTGCTGGGCTAGGAGGTGGGCACCAAGCAGGGCGCTGCAGGCCAGGGAAGCTGGCGGGTGAGGGGTGGTGAAGGGTGCATGCCCTCCTCCACGGTACCCCTGGACAGTGAGCGGCGTTTTCAAAAGTGAAGGTGAATACTTCATTAGAAATAAATCTTTCCTCCAGATGTGGTGGAGCCCGCTGTCATCCCAGTACCCAGGAGGCTGAGGCAGGAGGATCTCTGTGAATGTGAGGCCAGCTTGGGCTAGATAGCAAGGCCCTGTCTCAAAAATAAATAAATATATAAATAAATAAAATATAATACAAGGAAAGAAAGAAAAGAAATATTTCTAAAGATTGTCCTTTATAAACAGTATGATTTTAATTGAGAAAGACAGGAGAGAGGAGAGAAAAGAAGGGAGGAACAAACCGCTGTTTCACAGCTCGCAGGTTCTGATGATCCCTCAGAGCAGCGAGCTCCTGGAAGGAGTCGGTGTCTCTGCTGCCCCCAGCACCCCCGGGAGTGGTCCTGGGGAGGCCCTGGGGCTGTCCTGGCCACGTTCTGCTCAGACCTCAGGGCGCCACCCAGGGAAGCCCGCCGTCCTCTCTCCATCCTAAGGGCTGAGTACACAACCCCCACACCCGAGGGCCAGCACCCCCAGATCCTGGACTCCAGTGTGTGCCGGAAGCCAGCGTCCGCTGGACTGGCGCTTGGACAGCTGAGGGCTCCCGCGGACCCGAGTCCACTGCTGAGCGGAGCTCGTGTGAGCATGCAAGGGCCCTGAGCGCTGGGCAGCGCGAGCAGTGTGCGGGGACAGAGGCGCCCCCGGGGCTCCGGAGCTGTTTCTCCCTGGGCCTTCCGGTGCTCCTCTCTATTTTGCTCCCTTGCCCTGGCTTAACTCCAAACTGGATTTTTTACACACGTGGGTCTTACTTACCTCCTAATGAGCATGGTCTCAGGACACATCCATTTACCTATAAAAGTCTCCAGTTTATCCTTCTTTATGGCTGAGTAGTATTCCATTATGTAAAAATACCACATCTTTTTTTATCCGTTCCTCAGCATTTAGATTGTTTCACAGATCTGCCTGTTACCAACTGTGCTGCTATAAACATGGGTGCACGTATGTATCACCGTGGCATGATGTTTTTAATTCTCTTGGGAAGACACCCAGAAGGGGAATAGCTGGGTTGAATGGGACCTCCTTATTTTTATTTTATTTTTTGAGACAGGGTCTTGCCATGCGGTTCAGGCCAGCCTTGAACTCCCTGGGTGGCCCAGGCTGACGGCACACTCACAGCCACCCTCCTGCCTCAGTCTCCAAGTGCTGCGATCACAGGCTTTCACCGCCCCGCCTGCCGCGGGAAGAGGCTTTGCGACCCACAGCTGTGACTTCCTTGCTCTCTCCCTGCACTCCCTCCTCTCAGGTTCCTCCTCTGAAGCAGCCGCCTAGAGGACATGGGCACTTGGCGTCCCGTCGGGATTTTCCTTTAGGGACGGTGAGGGTGTTTGTGCTCACTGAGGCTGTCGGCAGGACCTGCTGATGAAGGGCTGGGGTCCTTGTGTCAGTCGGTGTCATGGAGACTCGGAGAGAGACCCACAGAGGTGTGAGGTCCTAGGCTGGCTCAGGAGCCGCAGAGGGGTGAGGGGTGCAGGGGCCCTGCCCCCCTGAAGCCTAGGCGCGGCTCTGGCCTCCTCCTTTCCCTGCCCGAGTCCAGGCAACAAGCCGGCCCGGGGAGTCCCCTGCAGCCTGGGGTGTGGAGCTGCTGAGCAGATTCAGTCCAGCTTCTTCTACTGAAGCTGACGCAGTCAGTCAACAATCGCGGCATGTCACCAGACCGCGGTCACCGGAGTCCTCCGTAAACCAGTGGAGCTCGGGAGTGCAGGACCTGGCTTCGTATTTGCCTCGCACTTTGTTTCCCTGAGCAAATCTCTTGGAAGTCGCCGCTGCCCTGGGCTCCAGGGTGCCATCACTGTCCCCTTGGCGGCTCCTTCCTGTCCTTGCCACTTCTTGAGGGCACTTTGCAACGTTAGCTGTGACCTCAGATGCCATTTAAAGAGTAGCATTTGCACACTGTGGAGTACTACTCTGCCGTAAAGAGGGGTGAACTGGGGTCATCTGTGGGGCAGCAGACGCACCTCGAGATGATCGTGCTCAGGCTGAGGTGCTGCGTGGTTGCTCTGCGGTGAAAGGCAGACGATCTGGGGCGAGGCTGTGCCACCCCGGCGGCCGCACTGTCAGTGTGCTGCTACCCCTGCAGGGCCCACGCCTGAAGCTGGGGCCACGCACGCAGGGCCCCTGGGCTGACCACGGCTTCCCCCAGGGGCTTGTGCTCATGGATTCCTCTCTTGCACTCCTGAAAGATGGGTGCAGGGACCCGGGTGCATTTCTCAAATTTTTTAGTTCTTCGGGTTTTTTTTCCTCCAATCAGTATTAAGCCCTATGCCAGCATAGATTTTCTTTCCCTTTTAAAAGTCTGCAAAGCGGTAGCAGTTTCTCAGTCCACTCAGAGACTGGCTTTCACCACCTTCTGCTTCTGTTGGAAAACTGTTGTCCTTAGAATTTTTTTCTTCTGAGACAAGGTCTCACTCTGCAGCCAGGCTGGCCCCCAATCACTGCGATCCTCCTGCCTCAGCCTCCCGAGTGCTGGGCTACAGGAGGGTGACCTCTTTTTTTTTAAAAGTCTGAAATCAGGCAGCTTATTTTTGGACAACATTGGCATAAAACTAGAAACAAATGACAAGTTACTTATAGAAAAACATTAAATATTTAGAAATTATCAAAGTTCCCTCTAGTCAGGGGATGTAAAAAATAAACCACAAGAGAAATTTAAAAATATCAGTCTTCACATAAATGAAGCTATGTCATCAAAATTTAATCAGTGCAGGTAAAGCGAACCTTACAGAAATAAACTGACACTGTTACCAGCTGCTGTGCAGTTAAGGCAACCGGTTTTAACCAGATTGTCAAAGGGGAGCTGTTTTCTAGTTTAAAGAGAAATACTGAAGGAAATACAAAGGAAATACCTGGACAGTGTGTGCGGTGTTTGTGCGGAGTGGCCTTCCTGTCAGTCCCGGAGGGTGACTCCCAGGAAGCGTCTCCTCCCTCTCATGTCCGTCTTCACAGTGCAGCGTTGCAGGGAGCTGGCCGTGTGCACAGCACGTCTTCCTCCTTCTCACGCCCCCCTGCCTCCATCGCCTCATCTGCTTGCCATTTGCAGAAGGTCTCTCTGTTTCCTGGTCTCTCTACTTTGTCCTGTATCTTGCTTATACTTTAGGTTTCTCATGTAAGAGGAATCGTGTGATATCTGAGCTGGTCTCATTTATTTCACTTTATACGCTGGTCTCAGTGCATGACTCAGGTTGTTATTCTTTAGGGCAGAGTCGTACTCCACCATGGGTAAACACCAGTTTCTTTACCCACTCATCTGCCCTTCCAAGGCCGCTTCCAAGATTTCGCTGTTATAAATTCTGTCACTGTGAACATGGAAGTGCGTGGATCCCTATCCAGAGACTTCTGTAACTCTTCCAGATTTCTAGAAAGCTGGGCCAGATGGCATTTCTGGTTTTAGTTTTTTTTAGGAACCTTCACCCAGAAGTACAAGTGAGCGACATGTACATCTCTGGCCATGAGAGAAGTACAGGTTGGCACATGGATTCAGGCGAGTCTTTCTGCCATGGCTTTGTTCTTTTACCCATAAAATCGGGGCAGCAGTGTATATTCACATGGGCTTAGAAACGCTCAAGGAGCCGGGTGTGGTGGTGCACGCCTGCAATCCCAGCGCTTGGGAGGCTGAAGCAGGAGGGTCACTGTGAGTTTGAGTCCGGCCTGCACTACAAAGTGAGCTCAAGTCCAGCTGCATAGCGAGAACCTGCCTCAAAAAAGGCCAAACAACAAAACCAAAGAAAAACATTCGCTGGAGATGAGATGAAACCCAGGGGAAGGATGATGCACATTCCCTGAGCAGCCGGGGCGGCTCTGTCGGTCTGTCCGTCTGAGCTCATAGTTCTTCGCAGAGAGGATTACGATCCTCTTTTGTAAAAATAAGGGAACTGAAGCTTTGGAAAAAACCCACTTGCTCAGGGTTATGTAGCTAAAACGTGACAAAACTGGAGACAGTGGGGGACAGCGTTTCCCTCCCGGCCAGGCCGCTCCGGCCCCCTGAGCTGGTCCCCAGTGGAGAGAGGCACAGTGGGCACGTGCGCGGACCTTTCCGGCCACTGCTGACCGCTCTTTGTGACCACAGGCTCGGGGACGATCTAATAAAAACCTGACTCACAGACTCCTTTGAAAGTTCTCGAGCAGCTACACAGGGTGTGCAAATGCGCCTTGAAGTGCGGGTGACTTGCACAGGGGAGAGAGATTTGCACGGTTGTGATCCGGGAGAAAAGATTCACGGCTCCGGGCCGAGTCCTGGCCGCAGGCGATGAACAGCGAGATGAGCTTGTGGCCGTCAGGATCCGGGCGCCATTCGGCTCCTTCCCCGTGTGTCTGCGCGGAGGCCTCGATCCTGACACCTGCCATGCTCTGTCCAAACAGCGCCTCACACCGCGGGGTCCCAGGTGCAAATCCCACGGGCAGCGGCTCCGGCCCCGGCGGGACTGCAAAGCCTGTGCGCTCCTGGTGGGCTCTTCACTCCTGTAACTGATAAAAGCATTTCACAAGGTGGCTTTGCTTGTTAAACTGCGTTAGAGCAGTGGCTCCTAACGCCCTGGCGTTTCTTTATCAGGGGTCAGGAGGATTTGGCACATGGGTGAAAAGCAAGTGCTCGGACTTTTGTCTTATTTTGCAAACTGATCAACTCAGTGATAACATTGTGGAAAGAATATAGTTTGAGACCGATAAAGTCATTTTATGTTTGAGACAGGGTCTTGCTGTGCAGTTCAGGCTGACCTTGGATTCACCATGTAGCCCAGGGTGGCCTCAAACTCACTGCAATCCTCCTGTCTCAGCCTCCCGAGGGCTGGAATGGCACCACACCCCCAGAAGTTTTGCGTATTCAGCTATGTCACTTTGACCTTTCATGTTAGCAAGTGCAGCTCAAACGTTTCCAGGCTTAAACCATTTCTGTGTTTCCCTTCAGTGTCTGCGCCCACGAGGCTGAGGTACCACGTGCTTTCTCAGGACAGCATCCAGATCTCATGGAAAGCTCCCAGAGGGAAGTTTGGGGGCTACAGACTCCTCGTGACCCCAGCCTCAGGTAAGGATTCTTTTCTAGAACATTGGGGTCCCACTGACTGCTCTCTTGTTGCCGAGACAAGAGGACGCCCAAAGTTAAGGGAGAAAAGGTTTATTCAGCTCACAGTTTGTGGAGGTTTCAGTTCACAGTCAGCTGGCTCCAAAGCAGGGTGGCACGGTGGTGGAGGAGAGCAAAAGCAATGAGACAGACAGACAGACAGACAGAGACTGGGATTAGGGCGGTGCCAGTGGACTGGCCCAGCGGTCATCCACCCTTGGCCCCAGCACCCTTAATCCCAGCCTTGCACTGTGAACCCATCATACACTGTAGATGGAGCCACCTCTGACTAGGACTGCATGTGGCTTCCAGGGGTCATCTAGACACAAACTGTAACAGAAACCAACGCTTCACACACCGGTAATTAAAAACACACAGTGCCAGGATTGCTTTAGGGTCATCTGTAAGCTTTTTGCTTCATTTAATCTTTTGGGCTTGACGTCTTAGCCTCTATTTGAGGGGATAATGTTCCACGACTTAGAGAGAGTGCCTTAGATTCAATGTAGTTATTCTTTTAGGGTGAAATTTCTGGACCATTAGAAAGTCTTACTGCCTCTCTTTCAGCATAGAATAAATACTTTTGGTTCATCGACACATAAGACACCTGGGTGTTGAAGGGGGTTGACGGTTGGAATAAATTATAATTAACTACTCCATAAATACTCAACAGTTTTACACTAACTTGAAAGATGAACTAGACCTTGTGAAATAGTGCTGTATTGAAGCACTGAAGATCATCAATACAAAGTGGTTATGTACAAGAGAGTCTAATTAGCTGGGTACAGGGGATGCCTGTCCTCCCAGCCACCGAAGAGGCTGAGGCAGGAGGATCACAGGTTTGAGGTCAGTCTGGGTAACTTCCTGAGAACCTCGCTCAATATCAAAAGAGAATAAATTCAAACGGGCTGGGAGTGCAGGGCAAGGGTACAGTGCCCCTGGGTTAAATCCTTACCACCTCAAAATGTTTTAACTAAGTTTCAGTGAATTTTTCTCTTTCCTATTGTATTGTACTAATACAATAAACTGAGCGTGTGTTAGCGGATTGCTCGGGTGTTTAGGAGACAAAGACGGGGCTGGAAGCCAGCTCCCTGGAGCCCCGCTCTGTGGAAAGGCGGCTGGGTCTCCTCTCGGATACCCAAGTCGGCACCTGGGCTTAACTTCACGCTGGGGTCAGTTAATTAGCAGCTGAGAAAGGCTCCCAGGGGTGCCTGCCTTGGGGTGAATGCAGGGTGAACCCGCCCAGCACCGCTGCTGAGGTGTTTCTAGGAGGCCTCTTGGGTCCCATTTCTTCTACATAATCACAAAAGGAATGCTCCGTGGTAGCTTTTGTCTGGGATAAAGTCTTCACAAATCATTCTTCATGATTATCTGCACCATAAAGTTCACTCCTTCTTGGTGATCAATGCAGCAGCGATGAAAGGTTGGTTTCTGGTTGGAACCGTTTTCCCAGCTGCTGTAATGAGGGGGACAAGGGGATGAAACGCCTGGCTTCCTCTTAGTCACTAAAGAGGATGCTTCTTTCAATTAATTAATTAATTAATTGCTTTTAGCTTTTTCAGGCAGGGTGTCACTATGTAGTTCAGGCTGGCCTCAAACTCATGGCAACCCTCCTGCCTCAGCCTCGTGAGAGCTAGAATCACAAATGTGCACCAGCCACGCCTGATTTTGATTCTTTTTCAAAATATAGTATCATAAAAAATTTAAATTGAAGCAGAAGTTGTTATGGTTCTAGAGATCAAAATACAAGTCACTAATTTGTGGTACCTTTGGGAATTTCCTGTATCAATTCTTGGAAGATCATTTTTTTCTTCCCGGTAGTCAGTAGTTGAACATTTCCTGATTAATTTCTGGTAATCCCAAAACTTCAAGGTCCCCGAGGAATCACAGGATCTTAGTAGGCACAGCCTGGTGCTGTATGTCCCGGGCTGCACAGCCCGAGAGCAGATGGCTGGTTCCAGTGAGAGTAAGAATTGAGGGAAGAGCAAATCATTTTGTGGTGAATACTGGGTTTATTTATCCTGTGCCCCTACTGCAGTGGCCAAGCCAACCAAACGGCCTTCCTCCCTGGTGCGGACCTGATTATACACTGCAGATAAGACATGCAATCAACACCTCTAGCCACAAAGACCTTCTCAGATGCTTCAGCCCTGAGCCACACTCCAAGCATAATTTATGCCGGCCTTTCTCAAAGAAAACTCTCATGGCCTTTTGCAGGATGTTAGCGGTTCTTCTGCACCCAGATGATTTAATAGTCAAATAAATTTGAGAAATGGTGGGTCAGGCAGAGTTTTAAAGCTTTCTTTTTATTGCAAGATTCTGGAAGCCTTCAATAAAATAAGAACTCGGTGTGAGTTCAGTATCTCAAAGTGAGATTTCTAGGGCAGGGGGTTTCTAAGGAAGTTCCAGAAGCAAAGCACATTGTGTGAAGGGTTTGTTCACTGTCCTGAGTTTTAGAGAGAACGAGAAGTCTGTGGGGAGACTGAACCTCTCGGGCGTGAACCAATGGGGGGGCGCTCTGGCAAGAGGGAGGCTCGGTTTTTTCTTCAGAGGGGGCAGCGCTGATCATGGCGGTGAAGAATTCGGACATTAATTTTATTAGACTGTGATTAAACGACTGCCCATTGCATTTGATTAATTGTGCCGATTCCAGATCCTTTTTGCTGGGGAGGACAGAAATTTTAAAATAATTTCATTTTTCTCAGATGCAATAAGGATTGCCAGTAAACAGAAGAGAAAGTATGTTTGGAATTTTGCAAAAAAAACAAAAAACTGCACATACAATCAGCAGCATCTTCAGGAAAGCTTTAGCGGTCAGTGTAACTGGACGGCGAGATCATGGGGCTTTGACATCTTTTTATGCCTCAGGCTGACCAGGCAAATCATGGCTCCTGTGCCATCCTGTACCCGAGGGGGCCAGATTGAAGATAATTAAATGGCTTGTGTTTCAAGGGTGCTTTATTTTATTTTATTTTAATTTTTTGAGACAAAATCTCCCTGTGTATGCAGAATGGCCTTGAACTCACTACGCAGCCCAGGCTGGCCTCCACCCAGAGGCAATCCTCCTGCCTCAGCCTCCCCAGTGCTAGGGTCACAGGTGTGCGCCCAGCTGCGTTCTCTGGAGAGGCCACAGGCAGGGCTCCAGCGTGGACCCTCACACTTGCCTGCATGCCTTTCTCCTTTCACCTTCAAGTGGAATTTGCTGTCTCACGGAGCGCACCTGACGTTCCGGGACGGTTTGAATGTGTACCAGCTCGTGCTGGGCTTTCTCCTGAGCGGAGAAGTAGCAGGGTTTTGTGGTGAAATGTTTCTGTGAATGGGCTTTTATCTAGTTCACACAGCTCTTAAGTTATGTAACGCAAAGAACCTCAGCTGGAAATGAGAAGGGAAATTATGTTATAATTAAGGGCTGTACACATGGGCATGTATTTTACAATGTCTTTATCCCTGTACATCAAAGTATTATGCCGTACACTGTCAGTAACACAATAAAGACAAATTTTAAAAAGTCTTTGCCTTTTGAAGTCTTGATTGCTGGTTAAAAACACTTCTCCATGGGCACAGTTAGCTGTATTTCTTACTGCTGTTTTTCTATCGGGTCTCACTAGGTAGTCTAGGCTGGCCTTGAGCTCACAGGAATCCTCCTGCTTCGGCCTCCACGGTGTGCACCCCCACACCCAGCTAGGTATCTGTATTTCTCAGCACTGATTTCCTTTTCTGTTTCATTACAGGAGGCAAAACCAATCAACTGAATCTCCAAAACACTGCCACGAAAGCCATTATCCAAGGTCTTATGCCGGAGCAGAACTACACGGTTCAAATTATCGCCTACCACAAGGACAAGGAGAGCAAGCCGGCTCAAGGCCAGTTCCGAAGTGAGTGGGGCCGCACGGTGGCGGTGGCGGGGGCTTGGTGGTGTACCCTCTACGGCTTGGAACCCTAGAGGTCTTCTTGAGCTTCGGTCTAGCTCTCGCGAACCCCTCCCATGTCTGCCCTTCCCTGCCACCTGCCTTCTGTTCCTCCCTGGTCTTTACGTTTTAGTTTCCAAAGCCTCGCAACCACAGCAGACGGTGCCCGCGTCTCTTCCATGGCATCCTGGCAGGCTTGCGTCCTGCCTTGGCTGCAACAGCATGGCCCAGCAGGGATCCGACACTTTCCGAGACTCGGCCACATGGATTTGCTAAGGCCCAGTGTGCAGGGGAGCTTCGAGCACACACAGCACGGTGGATGCTGGCCGGAATGCTGGTCATGGGCTGGAGGAGTGGACACCGGCAGGCTTCAGATCTGAACCATCTGCAAATAGCACGCTGGGTGGATGGCAGTGCAGGGCGCGCGGGCTGTGGGGCCTCTCGGCAGGGCGGAAGCTCCGGAGAGCCGGGCAGGGCTGCAGGCACCCCGGTATCAGCTTAAACGCCTCTGCTGGTGGGAAGCCCTCGTGCATCCCTTCTCCTGACTGTGCTGCACACTGTCCCAGTGGGGTGGCCCCTGCCTCCAGGGACCTGCCGCCCCTGACCTTTTCCACCTGGAGGACAAACACCATGCCTGTCCCGGGACCTGCCAGGCACTTCGCCGCTCTGTAGGCTCCTTCTCAAGCCTGGCTTGTGATCGAGGCGAGTACAACACAGCACTGAGGAAACTTGAGGACCAGCCCGGTGCTCCAGTGCCAGCGGTGACCCTCTCACCCCTCCGGCCTCGTCCCCTCGTCCTCTTGCAGCAAAGCGTGGACATTTCAAAGAGATTTTTCCTTACTCTGGACTTCTTCTGTCTGGCTGAGCGGTCACCCAATGCTAGGAGGCTCTGGGTGGGCCCTCTGTCTGGACTTTTCACCCCCGCTAACCTTTCTCTTCCATCCCGAGGAAGGCTTTGGGAGACATCTGATAAAAGTTAAAACCAAACCAGATACGTTGTTAAGTTCCTACCTCTTGAGCAAAACATTTCTGAACAAAAACATTTAGTGAATCGGTCTGTGGGCAGGACATCAGCTTTATGAATGTACAGGATGCTGGGTGTGGTGGTTCATGCTGGTGAGCCTAGCACCTGGGAGGCTGAGGCAGGAGGATTACCACAAGCTCAGGTTACATAATGAGACCTACAGAATGAGACCCTGGAAAGGGGCGGGGGCAGGAAAAGAAAAGAAAAGAAGAGAAGACAAGACAAGACAATGTGGACAAGGAGCCTCCTAGACTCATGTCTGATGCTCTGGAAAAGAGTTTTGTGTTATTTTCAGCATAAACCGACCCTCTCCCCTTCCACCACTGCTTGAGCTTTCTGACCTCCTGTACACTTACATAAATGACAGAAATAACTTTTCTCAAAGTCAATGAGAAACAGTCAAAGGGAGAAGGCAAAATGATCCACTTCACTCACGCTTGAAAATTGTATGATTGATTATTTGAAGTTTCTGCCAACTGAACAGCGGAGGAGACACAGGCCAACAAAAACCCTTCTCAGTAGCTAATGTTCGAGGCGCTCGAGAAAAACCATGTCTGTGCTCAGCTTGCTTACCTCCGTGGGAGAATCAGGGGACCGTCTCGTGGGTTAGCAGGAGGAGTTATATGAAAGCGTCTCTTTTTCCTAATCTGTGTTGTTTTGGTTGGCAGAGCAGTGGGCTGAGTCCTCCCAGATAGCAGTCTCTAAGAATGAAATGGAAATAACTTGGCCGGCATGGTTTTCTTTTCTTTTCCATTTGCATTTTAGCTATATTCTTGCTCCTTGGGAGATGGAGATAAAAACTGGCTTTGCTGGCCTGGAAACTTCAGAGCTGGATCCAGGACAGTGAGGATGGAGGAGGTTTATTTCAGCTGTGTGTGGAGTTTCAGGCCGCAGTAATTTTCCGAGGCAGGGTGGCCTGGCGGGAAACAGTCCATGGCAGGCAGGCAGGAGCAGAGAGCCCTCGAGGGAGGAGGAGGGGTGCACACCAGAGACCCACGTCTTCCACCAACACCGCACCGGCCCTAACCCAGCAGGGACCAGTCTCTGTCACACAGCCAGGGTCTGGCCACGTCTCAAAGCCCCGCCACGAGCGCAGGAGGCTTTGGGGACAGACACAGGCAGTCACAGCAGGTTCAGTCTGCTGCAGGTTGTGAGTTCATCACGAGCACTCGACCCTCCCCCGCCTTGGTTTCTCGTTTGGGGATGGGGGTGACAGCACGTGGGGAGCAGGCTGTGGGCTGACGTAACCAGCACAGAGGAAGCACCGTCCGTACCGCTGTGAGCAAGATCACGCTGAGGCTTTGCTGATTTCTGCCCAGAAACTGCCCATCTCTACAATCTGCCGCCCGTGTCACCTTACCAGGGACGTTTCTGCATGTTCCACTGCCTAAGCAGCTCCTCCTGTCTAAAGCTACTCCTCCTGTGAAACCTGCTCCACACGGTTTTCCTGTTAAAGTTGCAGACTTTTTTCTTGAAAAATTAACAAACCAGAAGCGCAGCCCGTGCCTGTGCGTGTGCGGGTGAAGGTGCCGCTGTGGCGGTGACCCCTGGAGGCAAGACTGTGGGGCGAGGGCTGAAACTGAGGCAGGGTATGTGGGACCGAAAACTTTAGCATACGGTCGTGTTTCAGGAAGGGAAGTAGAAAAAGGGGATCATGAGGATGTAAAGGAGGGTTCAAGGAATAGAAGCAGCAAGGTGCCGTCTTTGCAAAAACTGAGAAAAAATATTTTTAAACAATGGGTGCCCCAAAGCCAGGCAGATAGGTGCATCCCTGTAATCCAGCACTGGGGAGGCTGAGGCAGGAGGATCACTGAAGTTCAAGGCCAACCTGAGTTACACGGTGAGCTCCAGATCAGCCTGGACTACATAGTGAGACCCTGTCTGGAAAAACAAAGTGCTCCAGAGAGCCAGTGCTTAGTGAGCAGTGGAAAAACACGTACCGAATTAGGTCAGTGGGCCTGGAAGGGTCCTGCTGCTGGGGTTGCTATGATAGCTTGGAGTTCAACCTCTGGGTACCAGAAAACCAAGGAAGGTTGTTGGGGTCAGGAATAAGAGAATTAGGGCTCTGTGCCCTTGGCAAGCTTCGAACATCAAACCCGGCAGCAAAGGAATGGAAAACAGGAGAGACACAGAGACAGAGACAGAGAGACAGAGACAGGCAGAGAGAGAGAGAGAGAGAGAGAAAGAGACAGACAGACAGAGACGGAGAGGCAGAGAGAGGAATGGGTCCATCCCTGCAGCAGACAGCAAGGAAACCCTTATGTGTGCCCTGCAGCTCTTCCTGCAGGACCGCTGTGACCCCATGAACTGCCCGTAGTAGGAGATGACACGTCCGCCCGGCTCCCCTCTGCATCCTCAGGGGTCGTCCTCCTTGCGCAGTGACCGCCACGTGGCTCCGGCCTCGAAGGCCTCCTTGTGCTTGAGCTGCCAAGGGGCGCAGAGCGGCCGCCTGCAGGGTTTGGAGCAGAGAAGGCGGGCGGAGGCTGACCGGATGTCAGCCGGGGGGAGGAGACGGCCGTGATGGTCTTTCTGGTCTCCGAATATTTCCTTAGTCATCTTATGAATTAAGTTTGAGTTTTTAATTAATTAATTTGAGTTTGAGAGGAAAGTTCCAGGCTCCTCCCTGCTGCCGCAGAGAGAGCCTCCCCGAGTGACACTTTTGGTTCAGATCTTTCTGGACCAGGAATGAGAAGATGCGGCTGGAACCCCAGGCCGGCGCTCACCGGCTTTGTGAGACGGCTTCATGCCCCAGGGTTTTCATCCTCGTGTACCGGAGGGGGTGGCCAGGCCGATTTGACAGCCGTCCTGCAGGGCTGAATGTATTGGATGCACCTGTCCACAGCAGACACACAACCACAGCCATCACGCGGAGCTTCCAACTTTGCTGAGAAAATAAAATAGCAATTAAAAGACAGAGACCGAGGGATGGGGAGGAGATGGGGACGGAAGAAGGGAGCGGTTTGTCTGTACACACACAGACCCCCCACTAGGGATGTGGTCACCCACTCCACGCAGGGGCCAAGGAACCGGCAGAGCAGCAGAGCTAACATTTGGGGGCATGTGCGTCACAGAGCGGGTTTCTGCTGATGTTTAAGAGCTCGCAAGGGTTCCACGGAATGTCTCCTTCTGGAAGGTAACCTAACGCGCTGCTGTATGTCTGCTTTTTCTTTTTCAGTTAAAGATTTAGAAAAAAAGAAGGATCCAGCGAAGCCCAGAGGCAAGGTCGTGGACAGAGGAAACGGGAGTCAGCCGGCCTCCCCAGAAGGTCAGATGTTAGGGAAGAGCTCATCTTGGGAGTGTCTGCTCTGACTATACGGGTGGTACATGCGTGCATGGTCCTGTAATCGGCTGGGATGTCGCCCTGGGCTTCCTTCCTCTCCTCCCTCCCTCCCTCCCTGCCTATAATGACTGTCCACACCTGAGCACGCAAGCGCTGTCACCTTCCTACGAATGGACAGACTTACATACTTTACTCCTCGTTCTGCGCATGGTCTGCAGTGCAGGGCCCTCAGCACGACCCCGTGGGGGCTGAGCCACCAACAGAGGGTGGCAGGGCACCCCCTCTGCCCGCCCCAATCCAAGGGCCACGTCATCTGCAAATAACAGGCTGACCGCCTCCTTCCCCTTCCCGGCGTGCGTGGGTCAGTTTATTCCTTTCTCTTGCCTGCTTGTGCTCGCTGGGTTCAAGGACTGTGTTGACTGGGAGTGGGGACAGTGGACGTCCTCACCTTATTCCTGATTTTAGAGAAAAGTTTTCAGTTTTCCCCCATTTAACGTGCTATCTACAGTAGGATTGTAACCAGTGGCTTCATCGGATTGAGTCGAGGTCCTTCCATACCAATTTTCTTCAGGGTTTTTTTTTTACATGCTGAACGGATGTTGGATTTTGTCAAAGGCTTTTTCTGTGTGTGTTGAGAGGACTGTCTGATTTTTATCTTGCTTCCTGTTTCTGCGATTTATTGATAACATTTATTGATCTGGGGATGTTGTATCCCTAGGATGAAGCCTACTTGGTCGCGGTGCAGGTTTATTTATTTTTTTATGATTAGTAGCCTCGTTTGCCGACATCTTGTTGAGGATTTTTGTATCTGCGTTCATTAGAGACTGGCCTATAGTTCTCTCTTGTTTTTTGCTGGTTTCTTGTCTGGTTTGGGGGTCAGAGTAATGGTAGCTTCCAAGAAAGATTTGGGAGAATGCCTTCTTTCTCGATTTCATTAGAGTATCGGTGTTAGATATTCCCTGAAATTCTTACACAATTTGGCAGTGAGTACAGCAAGTCCTGGGCTTTTAATAGTCTTTTAATTACTGTTTCAAATTTGCTGCCCGTGATTGCATAGTCAAGAATTTTAAGTCTTTGTGTTTCCGTTTTGGTAATTCCGAGGTTTCTAGGAAGCTGTCATCTCTTCTGGGTCCTCCAACATTTTGGCGTATAGATTTGAGAAGCAGTTGCTGGTAAATTTCTAGATTTTGGCAATGCACGCTGTGATTTCACCTTTTTCATTTCTTATTGCATTGGCTTGTGTCTTTCCTTTTCTCTCCTTTTTTTTTGTCTAAAGTTTGTCCATTTTGTTTATTCCTTCAAAGAACCAGCTCTTCAATTCTTTGTATTTTTTAAAGTTTTCATTTTATTGATAGCCTCACTGATCTCTGTAATTTCCTTCCTGTTACAAGCTCTGGTTTGGGGTTTGTCTACCTTCCCAGGACTGAGATGCATCAGTAGGTTGTGTATTTGGGCTCATTCTGTTTTTCCGATGTGCGCGTTCTCAGCTATAAAGTTCCCTTCTAGGCCTGCTTTCATTGTGTGCCATAAAGTCTGGTTATCACACTGTGTTGTCACTTAATCCTAGAACTGTCTTATTTCTTCCTTTGGTTCCACTGTGACCCATAGATTATGCAAGAACGCGTTGTTTAGCTTCCATACATTTTCGTGGCTTCTGTGGTTTCTTTTTCTATTCATTTCTAGTTTCACTGTATGGTGATTTGATAATATGCAAGGATAATTTTGATTCTTTCGTATTTACGTAAGTGTGCTTTATGAGCTGTATGTGGTCTGTTCTGGAGAAGTTCCACGTGCTGCTGAAAAGAATGTGTATTCTGTTGTTGGGCAGAACACTCTGTATGCATCTGTTAAGCCCATTTGTTCAAAGATTTGGTTCAACTCTTATGTTTCTTTGTGGATTTTTTTGTTTAATTGATTTGTGATAGTAGGTTTTGAGGTTCCCCACTATACCTGTACTGAGCCTTGTCTGATCTTTCCTGTCCATCAGTGTCTGTGGTATGAAGTTGAGTGTACTGTAGTTTGGTGCATATATGTTTACAATTGTTATTGCTTCCTGTTGAGCAGTTCTGTTAGCCAATGTGAAATGTGCTTGTCTGTCTCTTTTGGTCAACTTTTGCTTAAATCCCACTTTGTCTGAAAATAGGATTGCTATTCCCGCTTGTTTTCAGGATTCCACTCCACAGAATACTGCTTTATGGCCTTTCATTTTTAGTGTATGAATTTCTTTTTGAGTTAAACATGTTTCTGTTGTGCAGCGTACCATTGGATTTGTTTCTGGAGCCATTCCGCTAATCTGGGTCTTGGCCAGTTGAATCTACTTCTCCAGACTTGCTGGTCATTTGCTTCATTATGATCATGATCTGGTTAGTTGTGTCTTCTTTGAATTTGCCAGTCACCTTTCTGAGTTGTTTTTCCTCCACTGACACCTTTCCCACATTTCTGCTGTTCAGCTCAGGGTTTCTACCCCTAAAGGGGGGTTTCTTCCCACCAGTGCCCCCTGGATTGGCTTTGACAGAGTTGGGAGTTTTTGGGTGCATTTATGAGGCCTTGTCGTCTTTTGTTTCTATTTTTTGCTTATTTTTTTGAGACAGGACTTCTCTGTGCAGTTCAGGTTGGCCGTGGGCTCACTGTGTAGCCCAGGCTGGCCGTGGACTTGCCATGATCCTCCTGCCTCAGCCTCTGGTGTGCTGGGGTTGCAGGTGTGCATCATGCACCTGGCCTGTCTGTTTGACTGTTGTGCTGGGGTTTGTAGCTTCTGTGGCTCGGCGCCTGGCTCTTTGGAAATGACCTGCAGTATTGTTGTGACCGCCATGCAATGCAGATATTGGGTACAGAGAGAATTGGGGGACAGCAAGCAACAGCTGTGTCACCTGGATACAGTAGTAATGTCAGTGACGACAGTGGTGTCACATATAAACAGATACTGGTGAGCCCTCGGGACCACTGAGGAGCCAGCCTTGGCCACAGCAGTGAGTTCTGCAACGTCAGTGACCTGCAGCAAATCAGACCAGAGTTTTCTGCTAGGAGTGGGCTGCAGTGCAGGAGCTCAAGTGCACCAGCGGTCTCAATGCCACCTGCCCTAGGCTTACCCCGTCTGAAGGTCGCACCCACTCTAATGGACCCCCTCAGGGCACCAGCCTCACCATCTTCCTGGGCCGAGCTGAGCTTCTCAGGGGAGCTCAGGGGACTCCTCCGAGCCCATCTCCCAGAGCTGTGTCTCACCCGATCTCTGTGGCATGGTGACACTTCCGTCCTGGAGGAACTCTGCTCCTGGGTGTGGGTTCCGTCCTCGGCCAGGTCTGTGTTTTGGAGCTCCACTGCCGGTGTGAGGAGAGCGGGGAGCAGAGCTGGCTGGGGTCTGGCAGCTCAGCTGTGCTGACCTCTGCTGCATGACACTCCTGAGTATCCTCTGGTGGCAGCAGCAGTGGCAGGACCCTCACTCCTTTTCAAGAGGGTGAGCAGTACAGTTCCCAAAGCCCTGCATCTATGATGTGTGCAATCCTGGTACAGTCTTAGAGTTGTTAATCTATACACAGTGCGAAGCAAGCACTCAAATCTAATAACTGGAGTTCACATTTGCTTTTAGTTTGGGGACTGTAAATCTCAGAAAGATCTTGGGTTAGTTCTTTTCTGTCTTATTCACCAAGTTTTGTTATCCATTGTAAACACAGTCAGTTTAATTTGTGAGTATGTAAAACATTTGGCGTGGTTCCAAAAACAGCAGCCAGGTGTGATGAGGGGAGGAGAAGCCCCGCTCCCCGTTCTGTCCCCCTGCTTTCCCTCCTGTCCTAAGTGCCACGCTCGCCACCCCCCTTTCTCCTTTGTGGTGCTGAGAGCAGACCTCAGGGCCTTGAGGAGCTCCTGAACTCGTCAAGTTCTGATGCGTCTTTCCTGCGTTTCTTTTTGCAAGAGAAGATTTGTTAATATCTTATGCAGGGTTTTATAGGTCAGTTCTCAGCCGGCATCCAATTAGCGCTTTTTGATACTCGGTGCTGAAAGGTATTAGAGATGAGATCTGTCTGCGGGTTTGTTGGGATCTGGGACTCACCGGCTCTCACTCCATTTCCTGTCCTGACCTGGCTTGTCTGTTCCTCCCCTGATTCCCTTTCCCCTGTCCAAAGCTTAGGCTGCGTGAGATGAGGTGAAGACAAGAAGTGGATGAAGGAGAAGGGAGGCGTCGGCCTAAGTCCTCAGGGACCAGGGAGTCTGAATTTAACGTCCAGGGAGGGCAGGCACGTCCTCGGTCGGGGAGCTGCTCGTGGGGACTCCTGCATGCAGGTCCTGCCTAATGGTGTCCACTGTAGGGATGAGGAGTGGTGGTGGGCAGAGAATTCAAGAAGTCTGCGGGGTAAAAGGTGCTTGTTTCTGCAGGTGAGGTGTGCGTCAGGCAGGTAAGGACGCCGGAGGGTGCTGGTTGTGGGAGGAATTGTCTTAAGAAATAAGTTACAAACCGGGGTGACCGTCCAGGCCAGTGTTAGGGCTCCTAGGAGCTGGAGGAGAAGCGTCGCTGGGCCTCCAGGGACAGAATGTGCACCCCAACGTGGTCTTCACGTAGGCTCCTGTCAGATCCCTTGTGAGACCGTCGTCCCAGGACTCACCCCAGTGATGCCACTCTCTCTGTCCCTTGCGATCCACAATTCTCCAGGACAAGAGTCAGCACCCACAGCGGCACAGTTAGCATCAGGTGGACTTCACATTCTTCAGAGTTTTCATTTAGTTTAATTTTTATTTTTTGGTCTTTTTGAGACAGGGTCTCGCTATGCAGTTCAGGCTGGCCTTGAGCTCACTTTGTATTTCAGGCTGGTCTCGAACTCAGGACAATCCTCCTGTCTCAGCCTCCCGAGTGCTAGGATTAAGTCGAGTTTCAATGTTAAGGCAGCGAGCTGAGGTCCTCAGCAGAGTTGCTGAGTGCTCGGTTCCCTGTTTTAATCAGCTGTGCCTGTTTCCTCAGGCTTCCTGGACCCCTCACCTGCAGAAGTGGTGTC